TATACAGGGTGTTTCCGACCATCCAACCAACCATGTTGAAATGAAGGGTAATGGTTTATATGGGAATGTCGAAAAATTATTATAAAAATTATTGGTCGTGCTCTATGAAATTCATTTCAACTTCCGGTACTAGGCGGAAATGGGAGATTCACCCTGGAAGTCGAATTTTTTAAATGGTACATGATGTTTTTTACTACAGTTTCAGATTGTACGTCAAAGAATAAGAATGTTTTGTTTCAAAGATTTTTTTTTTTTCAAAAACGTCTCCAAGTTTGAAGCGATCTTGAAAGTATAATTCATGAATGGGACAGATAGGCAGGAAATTATCTGCTCGAATTAGAAGTAACATTTCTCGAATGAAATATTGAAGTCATTATTTTGAATTGTAAATTAAAATTACAGGTAAACCCAACTAAGAAATTAACATACGTGACTTCTAATCCGGATAGATTATTTTCTAGCTAATTGTCCTATTCGCGAATTTCACTTTCAGGATCATTTTAAAGTTGGTGACATTAAAAAGAAAACCCTCGAGACAAAAGTTTCTCATTTTGTGACGTGAAATTTGAAAGTACAGTTAAAAACACTATATATCATTTGAAAGTTTGTTCATATAAATTATTCCTCTTCTTTTTAATACGGAAAATAGGGTTAACAGGGATCTGGAACACCCTGTATAGTTTTCCAATAAGAGCAATATAACTTTGAATCATGACATTGAATTTTATAAATAATTAATTTAAGACAGATATATTTCGTTGAAAATGTCATGTCAGGAGTGATCTAAAAATTTCTTCGTTTCATCTCCCAACATCTTAGGATTTTGGAATAATTCTGTAAATAAATTTTGTAAACAATCGATATAAAAAAAATATATCGTGCTAAACAGCGGATTCCTGAGAGGTCTGAAGCAGACTTCGCTTCACTTCACGTTGAGACGCAACTGCTTCAGGTAGCACTTCAAGGTAGTTCAAGAATACAATTTTACTGAATAACAATCGAACGTTCTATGTAACGAAAAAATTCTCTGTCATTTTAATCTACGCGTGAAAGATGTAAAAAAAATTCAAATCACATAAAAATCTATGCATATCACAAGACAACTGCAATCTGACTGCAATTGCGCTTCAAAGAATTCCGACGATTCTTCGTCCACAATTGTACACATCTCGAGTAAGAAAGGTGTAAAATGAATTTTGAATTCCGTCTGAACACTGTAAAATATGTAGACCGTAAATAGTCAGTTAATTGGACATCACAAAAAGCGAGGAACAGCGAAACGGATATTTCTTTGGGTAAACAATTGATTTATAATTTTTAATTCTTTTAATATTGATCTCCCGGTGATGTGTTATATTATTATCGGGGAATTGTTTACAGGAAGAGAAGAATCGAGGGAGAAACGGGGAGACCAACTTGGTCCAGCGTGGTTTGGACAACAATTGGGGATTGTTGCTGCCGAATTAACAGGTATCGAGCAACACAGGTGGAGTGATTGCATGCAGGCAATCATGCGAACATGCGAGACAGGCACATTCGATCATTCGTCGTCATCTCTGAAGTCTAAGATAACGATAATCCCAACTTCGACGATCATCGATCAGGCCCTTCGAAAACGAAAAAGATAACATTCCCGGGCCTCTCATTGCAAACCGCAATCGCAAAGTTTTCCAGTATCGAAAAAAATATCCAGTATCGAATAATTATAAATGTGTACCTCGGTATTTAAAAAAAAAAATCTTTACGTAATTATTGTGGTCATATGATTTTGTAAAATCGGGTTAAAAAGTGGAGGTCGTTTTTCAAACGCGAGAAAAGTATTCTGGAGTGACGAAATTAAAAAAAAAAAAACGGGATTGGGTAAACATTGTTATACAGCCCTTTGAAAACGAAAAAGATAACATTCCCGGGCCTTCATTGCAAATCGCAATTGCAAAGTTTTCCAGTATCGAATATCCAGTATCGAATAATTATAAATGTGTTAAAAAAAAAAACCTTTAAGTAATTATTGTGGCCATATGATTTTGTATAATATTGGTAAGGGTACAAAAAAAGAAAAGAACGTTTTCGTATCTGTCTCTTATCACAAACCGCAAACGTCGCATTATCTACGAGGCGAAAATATAGAAAAATTATCCAATTCAAATTATTGCAGTTATGTTATAAACTTTTGTAAATATTGTAAAATCGCGTTAACAGATTGGAGGTCGACCTCCAGGCGCAAAAAAGGGTTCTCAAATGATAGAAGGAATTAACCAGTTAGCTGTGTTTGACGAGTATACTCGTCATAAAAACACACGTTTCCAATAGGTCGACACAGTTAACTGGTTAAAAAAAAATGGTATTGAGTAAAAAGTGTTATCGGAATCGAAAAGAACACTTTCGACCATGCCTCTCAGGTATCATAAACCGTAATTGCAATATTTTCTCCGAAGGAAAACAAAAAAAAATGTCAAATAAAGAATATTGCAAAATTAAATGAAATTCCTACCTTTTATCGTAAACCGCAAACACGATATTTTCCACGAAGCGAAAATACTAAAAAATTACCTAATTAAAAATACCGAAGAATTACGTTGCACATTGTACATGCACTCCTCTCCGAAAATTCATACGTCGTTGCAATTATACAAAATATTATAATTTTGTCATCACTTTGTAAGATCGAATTAAAAACTTAGACGTCGTCCCCCACATATGGGAGAGGAGTCCGGTGTAAAACACAAAATAAAAAAAAGTATGTATAAATTGTCGCTTGTAAGAAAAAAAAAAAAAAATCGCAAAGATATGCTTCAAAGTGTACCTCGAGATTTTGGGAAAATTCATACGTTATCACTGTCGTTACATAATTACATAAAATCCAATTAGAAAATTACAGCTCGTTCTTCGGACGCGAAGAAAAAGTTTCCCGAGTGATAGACAAAATGAAACGAACAATAGGACCGAGTGAAATTGTTATCGTTATCACGTCACGCGGGATTGAATGAAAATCCGCCGTCTCTGTGAAAAGATCTAAAGATCCAAAAAAAAAAATCTATACTTCGCTTTTCCTTCTCTCCGCTAATTCAAGACTCGCTCAATCTACATTTCTCCTATTATCTCTAACCGAAGGCTGAAAGCTTGCGTGATAATAACTCCGAGAGTATCGTAAAACGTTCATGCTAGCAAAATGGACAAAGTTGCTCGATATTGTCGTACTAAGCGTCAGCGGGAAGCGCCCCTAATGACAAAATGATAAAAAAACGTGTAATCGGTATATTAAAGCGTGTCGATAAATATATATATATATATAAAGAGAGAGAGAGATAGAGAAAGGCGGACCGAGTGTCGTACGTGTGTATATACCGTATATACACAGGAATATATAACAAGTATATGCCAAGTGTCAAGTCGCTTGAAAATAGAGGTAGGCGTGAAGAAGAGGTAAAAGTACCTAGAAAGCTTTTTGTTAATGGTCAGAATCTTCTGAGTCCAGTGTAGGAAACAAGATCCGGCTACACTCACCGACCATCAGAAGCGAATTACAGAGAGAAAAAATACACAGAAAGAATGAATTGGCAGGTTCAGTCACGGGATGCGATATATCGAGTGATCGTGTCGTGTACTGCGAGATGTCGAGGTCGAGAGGAAAATTAAGGGCGATCGTGAGAGACAAAATGGAAAAAAAAAAGAAAAGTATAACGGGCCATGCCAGTTGACGATCCCGAGTTTCCAATTAGTTCATAGGATAATTTAGCGTATTAATTAGATTAGACAGTTATCGGTATATTAATGTCTGGCGCAGGTAAGGTTATCGGCTGGTCTCCGGAGACTTGGAATATCGCGAAATGCCAATATATAAGAATTTAAATATCGACCAATGGGTCTAACAAATGGATGTCTGAACGGAAATGTCCGAAGCCGATCAGCGATTTAAGAAAAGACGATCTAATGGTTGTACGTGGGCAAAATTGTAACAGGGACATCTCGCTGATTTTTTTGTAGTGCAATTTTCTGTTATACGGTAATAAGTGCGTGTATTATGAAAGGGGGACGATTCGAAAAGCGAAACTTTTTTGCAATTAAATATTATCAATTTTGGGTATTTGTATTGACCACAATTTGCGTTTTGGAGTTAAATTGTGTGAAACAGATTCTATGGCAAGGCTTCTTCTTCGGTATTTGATTTTCAGGGTGAAACGATTTTCGGAGTAGCGCACTAATTACATTTGTTATACTTGACAAAACATTCTAGCGATTTGCAACAACAAATCAATTATATAATAATACATCCTAGTTTATTAAACCTTTATGACTAGTCTAATCATTTCTTTCACCGGTTCTCGTTTTTGATGAAATTTAGCAATTCCACAAAATGTTCCCAAAATATATGAGCGACACCGTATTTTATTAGCGTTACTTATTCATTAAAGCTTCCTTTGAAGCGCTTTCAACATCAGTTTAATAAAAAATAAATGCTTCGCTTGAAATCCTTGTCAACTTACAAATCAAACAAGAGGAGTTTGTACCATCCACAGAGGCGAACGGATCAAAAGTGACTCTTTCTTTTTTAAGCACCTCCCTTAGACCAAGCCTCGCACATGAGACGACTAATTGTAAATTAAACGCTAGAAATTCTTGAACATCCATTTTTAAACGTCAGCGAGATGCCCCGAAATTACGGATAAATGAGGCACGACACGTGAGGGATGACAAGACATGAAAACGCCCAATGAATGCGGCCAGAGCGATCTCGGTTTTTGCGGTCTAAACTGGACCGTGGACGCGGTTTGGCCTCGTAGAGGTTGGAAAAGGTCCCAGAGAGCAAGAAATAGTCGGACGAAGACGCAGAAGCGGTCGAGGGGCCTAAATCGCAAGAATGAGTCCGACTGAGAGCCTAGAACCGCTTCTGGGACGTCTCGACATCGCTCGACCGCTCCGAGAACCGACGATCGACCTTATTTTCGGCCGAGATGACATGACTTTTGTCGCAGGGCTTACCGCCGATACCGGATACTGACCATCGTCCGAAATGTCTCCAGACAAGCCCCGTTGATGGTGAGACGGCGACGGAGACGCGTGCGAGTGCGTGTGGACCTCGTGGAGGGAGTCCAAACTTCCATAGCGAGTCGGCGCTCCACAGACGGACTCCAGAGAGGCCTGAAACGATTTGACAATTTTTATATTAACTCATCTCTTCACTTAGAATTATGGCTCGCGTGCATGTGCAAGTAACCTGAGCCACTTCTTGCTAGAGCAATTTACATTTTCGGGCACACTACCAGTAAACTTGCAGAAAATTTCTTGCCGCAAGTCGCTGTAGCAAGTTCACTTGCAAGACGACTTGGCGTGTACACGGTAGTAAGAAACTTGCTGCAATTTTACTCAAGTGTGAGATATTCGGTATTGAAAGTGTTGTACCACGAAACATCCAAAACGCGTACGAATCCGCTCACAACTTGAAACAAGAATTTCGGGACCGATTTAACACTTACGGCACCGTGGCACAGAATTACTGATGTATATTAAAAAAGTAGGTCGTTAACTTTAACGTGGGGACTGCTGTTGAATGACCAAATTAAACATTTTTAGATGCGAACATGCAAAGCCGTTAACGAGATTTCCCTCTGATGAAGCTTGAGTGAGTTTCCGCTACGAGCGCTAGTGTACGTCGTGACGTCGCTGCGCTGTAAAGGATGCGCAGGGTGCGACATAGCAGAAACAGCCAGTACATCACCGTGTTTGTCGGATTTTCCACTTTGTACACAAAATTTCGAACTACTGTATCTTGCAAAAACTTCGTTTACATATACCCTACATTTTGAGCAGATACTTTTAACCGTTGAAGAGAAGAGATCCCATAATAGTGAAGCATTCCTGCTATTCGGTAATGTAACCAATCAGGAGACGCGGTAGGGGCTCAGACAAGTTTATGTACCCTCTAATTGTTACCGTGATTTCAAAGCAACGCTCTTAGAGAAAAACGAAACATCCGTAGGCAAAGACAGAACTCATTTACTTCTTCGCCATTCCTCCCACCGGGAGTATGAAATTAAAGTATAGTGAAATAAATGCGATATTCAAAATATCTTCTACTAATATCAACGGCCCACTAAGAGCTTTATCACCCTTCGTCCTCTCTTCGCCCGAGTCATAAAAGAAGCCAAGAACATTGAAACACAATCTGTAACAACGCGGAGAGTGGAAGAAGCGTTCGGCTCCTCGGTCAAAATTGAATTCCATCCCAACCTCCTTGTCGGTTTTGAATTTTTTCACGACTCCGTTGTTCATCTTCTCCCCCAGGATGGAGCTGAGCTGGCTGCTGGCTTGAGCCTTCAGCTGAGCAGTGGGTTGCTGTTGAACGGCAACGGACAATGGTGCGACTCTCGTGGTGGACCTCGACCTGGACTGCCTGACGGTGTTATCGACGATGCTGTCCAGGATGTCGTCGTTCTCCATCTCCCTCTTGGCGAGCTGCCACTCCATTTCTATCCGTCTCCTCTCTTCTTCCCTTTTCTCGGCCTCTCTCCTTTGCCGATGCTGGTCCCTCTGTAACATGGCCTTCGTCTCCTGTTCGAACCTCCGGATTCTCTCCTGAGTTGTGGCACTTAGACCGGCATAGGTCCTGATGGCGACCTCGTCGTTGCTCTGTCTGGTGTCGTTGGATGTCGCCGACGACATGGACATGGTGTCCAGACTCGACTGCCCAATTTCACTCGAGGACCTTGGAGAACCCTGGCTAGGCTGGGCCTGGCTCGAGGTGTTGTATTTCATGCGGTTGGTGGATCCGTTCGGGGGACTTCCTATGTTGTTGTTCCCAGGAAGGACGACGTGATCGGTTCGATCGTTCAGGGTTGAATGATTCGAATGGCTCTTGTTCTCGTGCATCAACACTATCTCGCTGACGGAACATTGTCGTTCGTTCAGGGCCATACTTTGTCGCACCGTTGGTAGGCTCTCCATGTCTTGCTTCGGTTTTGTCTGCAATGTCCAAAATGTGCGAAAATTAGCAAATGGCATAATAGAAAAAATGGTATAATAGGTACTCGTTAGTTCATTTAAGGTGACGTGAAAGCGGCGTCAAAGAGTTCTTGTTCATGAAACTTTTGCTTAAACTAAGGGTACCCAATTGATTCAAACTTTACAATATAAATATGAAAGGGATAAGGAAGGTCCTGAAACTCATGGAATTTCAATTTTTTTAAATTTGTTCATAGGTATGTTTAAATTTGATATAAAAAATGAAATTTCATGAGGGCCAGGTCCTTTCTTATAGACTCCACATTTACGTTGTAAAGATTGAAAGGATTCGGCACACCCAGTTCGGAGAAAAGTTTCATGAACGATTGATTCTTTAGATGTCACATTCACATATCCTTAATGAATATTAAATTGAACATTATGATGGACGTGCTTGGCATTAACTTCATGTATAATGTTTCTTTTTGTATGAATGTTCTAACTTTATCCCTAACACGTATTATTCCTGGACATTGGTCCACTTTGACATATCTTAATTTATTAATGGCAAGTAAGATTCAATTCTAAAGTGGAAATTATTACAAGGTGGTAGTCAATGTGTTAACCATTTTGATATCTGCATAATGGTTAAATAATAATTTCTCATGAAACAAAATTTGTAAAAGTGTGTGACAGGTTTAACGCACCAGAGAACGAGTTATTATTAATCCTTAAATCATAGAAAAGGGTAAAGAAATTCTCAAAAAATTAATCGCTTTGACCGCTAAGTCCTTTTGACGTATGGGCGAGATTCGTCATCGCGTGCAGGCAATAGTGGACCAAATGTCGAGCGTACATATACCGTCATTCACAGTCAAAGGGTTAAATTAAATTAAATATATATCACTTTTAGCAACAAACCGCGTGTTCAAGCGTGCGATCGGTCATATATATTAGAGAATTCTCTACAATTGTTTATAAATAAAAATAAAGATACCTTGTCGTCTTCCTGGTCCTCGCCGTCCGGCTCGTTCTGACCTTTTCTTCTCCTCTGTATCTTCCTGTTAGCTGCGGATATTATTGAGGATACAATATCCCTAGCTGAGACCATTTCGCGCATGCCTGTTGTGTCAGAATGAAAGCAAGGAAAATAAATGCGTGACAAATCAAGAGTAAAACAATGAGGGTGGGGACGAAACAATAAATCTTACGATGGAGGACACGAGAAGTAAATTCGTGTTTGGTGATGGCGGATAATTTAAATAAATAAATAATAATAATAATAAATAAGAACAGTCGGTCAAATCTGTCAAACGAGGAGAAACTTACGAGGAAAAGGCGCAACTAAGTGAATTAAGAAATTAATATGATCAGCACTAACTACTCGTGTCGCTCCTATTTCTAGGTCCGATTTTACGCAAGCGTTTCTAGGTCGATAATGAATTATCGCAAAATCGGATTTACTGTGGGAATGTTTTAGATCTAACGAGGTGTACCTTCAACTTTTTGGATATTGTTTAATAGGAGATTGTGGTTCGACGTTGGTTCCATTTCGCAGGCATCCGCTGGGAGGCTCAAGTTGACGCTCAATCTACTCAGATCATCTAAATCTTCCTCGGAGAAGAACCAGTCGACCTGTTTAAGTACGATTAAACGTTATCATTACGTTTTACAACTCTTAATATAAATATCATTGACGATATTGGTTGTAACTTTCATCAAGGATAGCGATAATTTTTGCACTAAATAAATTTAAACCCCTAGTTCCATTCCAGAGTGCACGGTGGAAAGGGTTCGCAAATTTCAAACGTTTTTAGTATAAAAAGGTATACTAAGTTTACAAATTTCATACGATGATTTAAATCAATATGCAATATTTGTGAATTTATGAACGTTTTTAGTATAAAAAGGTATACTAAGTTTACAAATTTCATACGATGATTTAAATCAATATGCAATGTTTGTGAATTTATGAACGAGTTTCGAGCTTTATGTCATTTTGTCAGGCATTTGTTTAAGCTGCTGGCAAAATTATAAAGCCTGCATATGAAATAGACTTATGAGTGTATTACAATATCGTATGTATCGGAATAAAATTTGCGATACATGTTTCATGAACGTAACTTTTTTTTTTAAACAATGTAATCCGTTTAGGAATATCAGTGATATACAGTACTGTTCATATATTTTAGGACACTTCATGAAATTCCTAAATATCGCAAGGAATATATCAGTGAAAGAAATCATTGTTATACGAGAAGGCTTGACAAATTCGTTGTAAGTGTTAATAAATAAATTACTGAATAAATACATATATAAAGAACGCGTTACCGCTATTTTACATAGTCAAGAGTTACTGTCCTAAAATATACGAGCGCTAGTGTAGATAAACAAATAAATAAATGAACAAAAATAGTAAATGTGTTAGCGCTGTTTCGTACAGTCAAGGAGCACTGTCCTAAAAGAAATGCATAAGCAGGAGATATTTCTTCGACCAGCTTTTAAATGTTGCTTGCAAACGTCAATGAAAAAAAAGGTGAAGTGTATAGAGCATGAAGTAGTACAAGATATAACGTTTGTTTCACAGAAAGTAGCCCCAGAATCGAAATCCAGAATCTCACATTTTCGCTGATCTAACGACGCGAGCGCCACTTGCGGAAAATGAAGGAACTTGAATCCTACGTGAGCAAAATATTTCCTACCGACGTAAAACCTAAAATGCTTTTAATTTTGCAATTAAGGTACGCGAAGCGAAACGATAATCCGCACATGATGTACAGAATATGATATTTTTAACGGGATAAAGACTAGCTTAGGCGCTAGCAGACGATAATTTTGAATTGCAAAATTTCATTTTTTTGGCGGAGACGCTCTCGGCCCTACATCGGAAAAAAGTCTGAAGATCTTGGACCCCTAAAGTGGGGACGATTTCAATACATGGCGTTGTACCTCCTTATACTACTTCGTGGTACAGAGAATATTAAAATTAGGAACGGGTCGAAATCGAAGAGTAATGTTACATTGTTCAGCAGGCTTTCGACGATCCTGCACTGATGCGACATGTCCGTGACCATCGTCACCATGTTGTCCCTCGAGCCACTGGCCCTGACCAAAGTCGGTCCAAAGACGATGGCCAGGTTCTTGGCTTCCATCTTATTGACTTCGCTGTGCTCGACGACCTTCTTCAGGTGGAACATCAGACACTTCAAGGTCTCGAAGTGGTGTTCCGGGAGGTCCCTCAAGAGCTTGCGAATCGTGGCCATCCTCCTCTGCGGATCCTCTATTTTATCGGCGTCGATGAACATCGGATACAATTCTGCAGTCAGGAGAGAATCCGGCAGTTGGCGGAAGAATGACTTCAAGAGGGACGATATCACGTTGACGTCGCTCCATCTTGGATCCTGGAAAATGGTTCATCTATTAATATGAGTAAAATTGCCGGTTGGCCCACAATTGTGATCGATGGGAAGTCTCGTGAATAAACTGCGTTAAATGTGGTAACATTTGCTTAAACAAAGTATCTAATGTAGCAAAACTGTGGATTAAAGGGTACTTCATCCAAGGCCAAAAAATGAAACAACAACAGCAAAACCCTGGCTTAAAGGAGAACCAACCCAAGGCCAAAAAAACGAAAGAAGAGGAAGATATGAGTGAAATTCCAGAAAAATAGCTCGCCTCCTATACATAAAACATTTGTCTTGTCTTAGGTTTATACTTGTATATTTTAGCGCTAAAAGACGTCTATCAGCTGTAGTTTTTAAATGCCGAAAAGATGTCTTTAAACGCTGAAAGCGAGATATAGGTATGGGGATTAATATTTCGACCATAAGACTGATAGGCATTTTTTATAGTGATTGGAGGGACCTCTTACCTGGAGATTGATGTTCTCGAAGCCCTTGTTGACGCTCTCGGTCAGCTGAGAAATGGCTGCGGTGTTTCCTGGCACTCTGTAAATCCCGACGACCTCGAGGCCTCTCGCCTCGACGATGCTTGTGCACATTTCGACGATCAATGGCACATACTCCGAGAAAGAGGACTGAAAAATGAATGGCACAATTTTTGATCACACTAAATCAAGCATAATCTAAATAGCATGTACAAGTTATATTCTATTTATAGTACCGCTCAAATATCTTAAGATAGCGCTGAAATATGTATGAAAGTACCTTCACCTTAAGGTGAAGTGAAACCTCTTCTCAAACTAGTCGATTGAATAAGACACTTTCTTTTTAAAGGGTATTCCACGGAATTAACTAAAATTCTAGCACACGACTCGTCAGCACTTAAGCAATACTCTGACAGTTTCAAAATTTGGATTTTAGGAAAAAAATTTTCTTTATTTAGTCTAGACTAAAACACGAGATGACGTTAAGCTCTTGTAATTTGATCTTCGGTAACACGAGGTCTCGGAGAGAATATTTAGTTGGCTCTGAATGCAACAGATGGCGCAGGGTGGCACACTGCAGCCAATTAGGGCATCAAGAACCACGAATCCTGGGGGTTTCTGGAGTTTTACTTGGATTTCTTTATAATTAATGTACGTAAACGATATATGGAGCATGTCATTTAGTACAATACCCAATATAATTCGACACAGCTGTGAATATAAATACGGACGTCGGCAACGTAGGTAGCTAGAGGAATTTCCTTTACCGACATTGAGTCGCTCGACGGGTTCCACTTCACCTTAACGGCTCGTTAATACGAACTGCTAACTTACAGGTGGACACAGTTCCAGAGGGACCTTGAAGGTAGCACCCTCCGGGGGAAGTTGAGCAGTCGGAGAAGACGGGGATCCAGCCTGGCCGTGCATTCTGCGGAGTTGCTTGGCGACTCTGCCCTTCCAGGTTTTGCTCTTCGGAGATGGTAAAGGCTCGACGATTTGACTAGGTTTCCTGGTTTTGTTGACGGGCGACTGGCCGGTGGGGGACCTGTTTCTGAAGGACGTTAACTTCCTGATCCCCTTGTGACCGGGAAGAGGACTCAACCTTTGGCCACCTCCTGGGACCGAGGAACTCGGCGTCGTGGGCCCCGGAGTCTGGGGCACCGCCTGCTGCTTCGACGTCGTGCTCGTCAAGGCTTCCTAGGGTCAAAGAAATCAATGGACGATTAATCAATGAAATATTCAACGGACGGTTCCGTCAAGGCTGGAGTTTCACTCCTAATACGAGATTCGGCGCAAGGTCTTCGCGTCGTTGCAGAAATTTCACGGAGAAACTAGTGTACTGAGAGATTGTTTATTGTCTATTTTATTGTTTAACGAGAAATAATTTCCGATAAAACGTTGTAAAATCCGAAAATTGTTCATAGATATACAAACATTGCAGAGCAATTGAAAAGAAAATCATCGGGTAAAATTTGTGATTTTTATACAACTTTGTACAGTCCAATGCTGTAATATCTATAAACCTTATTAACGATGCAATTTATATTGCTTTTATAAAATTGTTATTTTAATGCAACTTTGTTTACTTCGAGATTGTTTAATACGAGATTCGGCGCAAGGTCTTCGCGCCGTTGCAGAAATTTCACGGGGAAACTAGTGTACTGAGAGATTGTTTATTGTCTATTTTATTGTTTAACGAGAAATAATTTCCGATAAAACGTTGTAAAATCCGAAAATTGTTCATAGATATACAAACATTGCAGAGCAATTGAAAAGAAAATCATCGGGTGAAATTTGTGATTTTTATACAACTTTGTACACTCCAATACTGTAAAATCTAAAAACATTATTAACGATACAATTTATATTGATTTTGTAAAATTGTCATATTAATGCAACTTGTAAATTATTGGGTAAAATTTGTGATTTTTATAGAACTTTGTACACTCCGATACTGTAAAATCTATAAATGTTATTAACGATGCAATTTATATTGCTTTTGTAAAATTGTCATTTTAATGCAACTTTGTTCACTTCGAGATTGCTTAATACGAGACTCGGTGCAAGATCTTCGCGCCGTTGCAGAAATTTCACGGGGAAACTAGTGTACTGAGAGATTGTTTATTGTTTATTTTATTGTTTAAAGAGATATATAATTTCCGATAAAACTTTGTAAAATCCGAAAATTGTTCATAGATGTACAAACATTGCAGAGTAATTGAAAAGAAAATGATCGGGTAAAATTTGTGATTTTTATACAACTTTGTACAGTCCAATACTGTAAAATCTATAAACGTTATTAACGATGCAATTTATATTGCTTTTGTAAACTTGTCATTTTAATGCAATTTTGTTTACTTCGGTTGCATAAAATCCAAAAACATTTTGAACGGGGTATGAATGATAATAGTTTTAAAATATAGACAGCAACTACGTAGATTAAATATTTCATCCTCCACATCTCTAATTGTAATGTTTTTTCTAATGTAATGTTTTTTATAAAAGAATTGTCACATTGAAACAAAATGAAAGGTATTGGCATTGCTGTAACAAAATGTATGGGCGAAAGTTCGAGTCAAAATAACTCAGAGCAAAACGAGTCTCAATTAACAAATCTAATTTAAATGAAAACATGAAGTAGTAAATAAAAAAACATTAGTTACGCTACAAGTTATTTTCTGAATTAAATTCAAAATCCTGATTCTGAGAAGAATATACTTCTGGTTAACGACAAAATGATTCGAGATTTATGCAACGACATTTTATATGTAACGTAGTACAAAGGTTAACTGAAAAATTAGTAGCGTGGATTTTTTAAATATTTGTATATAAACCGGCTTAGGAGACGGATTGACGCCATTTTTGTTACGAACGCGTCTTCATCTCTGCAATTTTCAGGGATTTCATCGTGGGAAACGATCTAAGGGAAACGTTAGGACTTCTTTCGAGAATGTGGGCGAAGGATGCTAAACGTTTCTCACATCAGTAGGTATTGCGCGAGCGATTAATAATCCATTAGCATAGCGACAACGACGGGCAGTCATGACTCGATAACAGTGTCGATGATGGATGGCCTTCCTTTTCAGCATATACATACAAAAAGCGAATGATCTATTGAAACTGTTAATTGATTATCGTTGGAAGTTCCTAACTACACTGCTGTACACAGCACCGAGCCTCCGTATAAAAATTAATCAATGAACGACATAAATCAAATAAGTTAATGAGCCTCATTACTCTCGCCTAACAGAATTACAGATCGCATTTAATTTTCCCGATAGTAACTCTGTATATAAATGACAAATATCATCGATGAAGTACTACAAAAAATGCCGATATGATTGTTTTATAATTGCAGAGATTATAGGACACATGTGATTGGGCCTAATTAACTTACAGAGCTTTCATGTTCACTCCCCCAATGATAATGTTAAATAAAAATGCATTGCAATTTTGTTATAATCGAGAAAGTCTCGCAAGAGATGCCGAGAAGACTTAAAAAGTCTTAAGATATCGGGAACTTTAGTCTGGAGCTAATTGAATGACTAAACTTTTATGTTTACTTTTATAATAATACTTCTATGTAATAATGCATTGCAATTTCTTAAAGGTGAGATAATGAGAGAATATGTCGATAAGGCTCGTTTCACGTTTACGGGGATTCTAAGGATCTTCAGATTGCACCTAATTGAGTTACAGAGCTTTCATATTTAAATATTTCTTATAATCAGAATGCTATGTCTTCTTCTTTTTGACAGATGAAGTAGCACAAAAAATGGCGATAAAACGTATATTCCACCCCGGTTAAGAAGAAAACTTGAGTCTTCAGTTAGGATGCAATTAACCCATTTGCATCATTAGCGTATATATACGCTCAGTTTTCCTGGTCACTATCATTCAGCCTGAAATTTGGTGATAAGGATCTTCTGTTTCATATTTCCTTATGATGCAAATGGATCCTTATAATGACAAGTTATTGAAATCTACATTTTCTAACAATAACGCTACATGATACTTTCATAGATGTATATAGACGTTCATAGACGAAGCTTCGCAAAAAATGTGAGTAAAATCGCTGTTCCTCCATTTTAGGAATTTTTAGTATAGATCCGATTAAATTGCAGCGCGTTAGAATTTACTTTTCCTAATAACAGCGCTGTGTAATAAATTTTAATAGACGAAGTATCGGTTAATGTAACGATAAGACTCTATCCCACAGCTGCAGGTATTCTAGGAAGCTTCGGATTGCGGAGGTGGATTTGGACATCGTTTAGGCGTTGGTGTCGAGGGACATTTTTCTCAGGCAGGATAACCGATCCTTTTAAAATGGCGCCAATGCCAAGTGGGATAAATAATGTGAGAATATCGACTACCGATGGTTTTTCGGCCGCTGCGTGTTTATGAAGAGCCCTTAACCAGAGGGCCATTGAAGCCGCATCTTCGGTTTGTAGCAGAACCTCTGCCGTAGGGTTTGCGACTCGCAAGACGTGTTTTCTCTTTGTGTAATCCTCGGCCACGTCCACCAGGGAACATCTCACGTCGACATTTTGACCAGCGTCTCCGTCGCCGGTGACCGCAGGACTCTGAAAATTAAAAATATATATTAGAGAATATAAAAAAAAACGTGCCATGACGTCATGTGCGCTCCTGCTCATATATTTTGGGTCGTTGTCTGTCGACTGTATGAGACTGTTTTATTTTTTTACTGTTTAATTTTTTATTTTCTTTTACTGTTTTATTTATTTACTGATCTAGTTATCTGGTGACTTAGCTCATATAATAGTTTACTAAGCTTTTTCAGGAAACGCAGTATTTAACGCCAAAATTCGACACATCAATTCGATAAATATTTATTGCTTCTGATTAACAGAAGAGGAATTCCTTTTATCGAATTGTTCTTTACGAAATTAAGAATTTATAAAGTGTCCTAACGTACATGACCGATACTATGTAAAAATGATACTATGTGCAAGGAATGTGTGTATAATGTCTGTACCAAGTATGTATAGAATACTAATTATACTGCGTATATACAGGGCGTTGCAGAAAGTGTTTTGTTTTGAAAAGTGTTGAAATCGGGTTTACATGTTTTATACAGGTAAAAAAGGGCACCATTACCCATTAATGTATTAAGCAGTGTCTCATACAACTTCGTGTCATTTTTTACACCAAAGACACTATACGTAGGGATAAAAATGACATCATATATAACAAAAAACACTATTACATCCTCTACAATCCTTCGGTAGTATTTTTTGAATAGTCCATATCATTGTAGAATATTTAAACAAATACATTTAAATCATTTATGATTTCGGAGTATTTTTCTTGGGTTTAATTACTGCATTTTGTACATTAACAATTAAAAGTGCCGCAAGTGCCAGAGATTTTGCTCTATCGAATCTAGGTTTAATTTCCGATAAACATTTTATCCTGGATTAATAATGTTGAGATAAAAAGTTATTATATCTACCCAGGACCCCGTAGAACCCCATCTTCGGAGTCTTCTGCCGAAAAGTCCGTGAGTACTGAAATGCAGTGGTATGCACGAATAAGAACCACTTTCCCATGACCCCAACATTCCTTTTGCAATTCGGGAACCTGAGTTGGGCCTTTATCAGACCATTCGTCCTTATCGCTTCTTCACTTTTCTTCACGGAAGGTGAGCTCATTTGTGGGTTCAAATCCTCCCGATAGTCGCAATAAGTATATGTCGAAAAATCTTCATCAACGAACCAGGGAATGTTCAACCAACATAGGTACACAATACATGAGGAAATTCACTCAAAGTAAAACCTGGATTCTGCAAACATGAGTAGCATAGGTTGCGATAAGTCTATGTCGAATAAACTCCATTAACGAAACAGGAAATGTTCAACAAAATTCTTGTATATGGATTATCGATCACAAAAATCAGCGAAATTTCTTTAGCGATTGCTAACATAGGAACACGATACAGAAGGAAATTCACTCAAAACCTGGATTCTGCAAACATGAATAGTATAAGTTGCAATAAGTCTATGTGGAATAAACTCCATGAACGAAACAGGAAATGTTCGATAAATTCCTGTATATGGATTACTGATCACAACAAATCTGCGAAATTTCTTTAGCGAATGCCAACATAGGTACACGATACATGAGGAAATTCACTCAAAGTAAAACCTGGATTCTGCAAACATGAATAGCATAGGTTGCAATAAGTCTATGTCGAAGAAATTCCATCAACAAAACAGGGAATGTTTAACAAAATTCCTGTATATGAATTATCGATCACAACAAATCAGCGAAATTTCTTTAGCGAATGCCAACATAGGTACAGAATACAGAAGGAAATTCACTCAAAGTAAAACCTGGATTCTGCAAACATGAATAGCAATGTTACAATAAGTCTATTCCGAATAAACTTCACGATGGAAACAGGGAGTACTTTTAAGGATTTTCAAGAAATCCCCACGCATCGACTAGTAACGATAGGCGTTAACGAAACGTGGAATACTTTGAAGGTCTTCCGATAAATCCCGACACATCGAGTACTAACGAGGAGACGAGCACGCAACGCAGGATTAAATTCATTGAAAGTAAAACCTGGATTCTGCGGATATGAACATGTCAAAATGAAGATACGAGCATAAGTCGCGATAAATCGACGTCGAATAAACCTGCGTCAACGAAGCGGAATACTTTTAAGGATTTCCAAGATATCCCCACGCGTCTATCCGATAATGACGGAAGTCAACGAAACGGGGAATACTTTGAAGGTTTTCCGATAAATCCCGACACATCGAGTACTAACGAGGAGACGAGCACGCAACACGGGAGGCGAATCACGCAAAACAGAAACGACTCCCGAGGAAACCGTCGACGAGGCCCCTCGAAGCCTTGCTCGGCCTAGGTCTCTTTCCTCCCCACTTTCGAGCCGAAGCCTTTCACCGAGACCGAGCACGGCGAATCGTCTTTCGATTTTCCACCTCTGTCCCAGAGGTTTTCGCCATTTTCCGAAGTCCAGATCCGAATGTTGAAAGCTCTTGAAAGCTACTGCCGAGCTTCTTCGGCTTTTGACGCTCGACGCTCGCAGGACCTTCTCTGGGTCTAGGTTGTGGTCACCGATAAAACCCGACGTTTCCGTTTTAGCGAGATAAAGATGTGATATCTGCCGCTTTTTCCCGTATTTCCTCGATCCAGTTACGGCATTAATCTAGAGGTCCTTCGCGACTGCCAAACGTAACGGAGTAAATTGTAGGGACGATATTATCAGGAATATTGTTTATCAACGATGAAGTTGGAGGTTCTTTGCGATCGAATGCACCGAATGTAATTGTAGGGACGATATTATTAGGAATATTGTTTATCAACGATGAAGTTAGAGGTTCCTTGTGACCGAGCATAACAGAGTGTTTTACAGAACTCATTTTAAATTATAGTTGATGTTAGAAGTTTGACGGAGTATGGTTCGAATTTGTGATTTTTAACATTCTCGGAAAGAATTAATTGTAATTACTTTTCACCGATATCATTTGGTGTTTCCGTTTCCTGCAGATAAATAAGTGGCGTGCGAATATCCTCGATTAATTTTTTGTTTATATCTAGAGGTCCGTCTTGATAGTGGAATTCAACTGAAAATTTTACGGAAATTACTTTGAATTAATAGTCCATTTTTGAGATATTACGTGGAATAATTCGCATCTGCGCTACCCATGTTCTAGGAAAGAACTGTCATTGTTTTTCACCGATAAAACTCGACATTTCCGCTTTTTGAAGATAAAGCCGTAATATCTGGCGCTTATTTGCATATTTCCTCGTGGAATTAAACGAGGGAATTTATAGGAATTATTGTAAGTTAATAGTCAATATTTGAAGTGTAACGTGAAATAATTCGCATTCGTGTTTCCTAAAATTCTAAAAAAGAATTACGAGCTATTCATTTTCACCTATCAAATTTGACATTTTCGCTTCCATTTTTCTTGACTAATGTATGTCATAAATTTAGGTCTCTCCTGCTGTTGAATCCATGAAATTTCGTGGAGCAAATTATAAAAAGCATTAGGTATTAATAATATCTTGCTCCGATTACCATATTTTTGTTTCCCTATACCGTGAATGTAAGATTCTGTGTTGTGACGGAGAAGTATAACAAAATTAAAGTTCCAGAAATTATTATCAGCAATATCTAGCACTCGCTCCCATATTTCATCCATTTATTTGTAGTATAAATCTCTAAATTTATAGTATAAATCTCTAAATTTATAGTATAAATCTGTAAAAATTACTCCAAGAAACTCGTTAAATACTTTTTCTGTTTGAAATTTAATTCAATTAAATTGTAATTTTCGGGCTAATACGCGACGGTTTTACAATAATGTATCTTGATTTGAATTTGATGTATCTTGGCTTGGCTTGGTTATTACAAAGGATTTAGATATATAACGATAGGACGTTCCTGAAGATCCGAATCTCGAGGCATGTTATTGTCCTCTAAATTTCCAGTAATAATCTGTAAAAATTACTCCCAGAAACTCGTTGAATGCTTCTTGCATTTTGAAATTTAATTTAATTAAATTGTGGTTAACTTTCGAGCTAATACACGATAGTTTTACAATAATGTATCTTGACTTGTATAATGTACGGCTTGGTTATTACAAAGGATTTAGATATATAACGATAGGACGTTCCTGAAGATCCGAATCTCGAGGCATGTCATTGTTCGGCGACCCGACATAACGGAATGGCCGAGTGAAACTTATTGTAGAAATGGCTTTCACGTTTCCAATTTTCCCAGATAAAAGCCCGTGAAACTGGATCACGGAGCCATTAATTATAACTGAGGACTCGGTCTTTAGTTCCCGTCCATTGTCGGCTAAGGCGTTAAAATCCTTTCCTCCACATAAATTCTAAAAATAGATATTTAAATGGAGATGCAAACGTTCGCTTCTATTTCTCTCTTCAGGTTCGAAGATGAGGAAATAAAGATTCTTTTTCTCAATTGGTCCAATAATAAGTGTCGGTAGGGAATGATCTCAATGATAGGTATTGCACAGGGACCTGCAGAAATACCATGAGGACAAGAAGGTTAAATAAACTGCAAAGAACTATGCAGAAAGACTAAATAAACTGACCTAAGGAACTGCCATGGCCGGCGAAGGCACGTTGGCTCTTTAAGCCGTGAGAATTCGAAGAATGTGGACCCGAAAAATAAGAAACTCTGCACATTCGAAACGGGTTATTTCATTTTCTTAAATATGCAAACCCTGGCCATGACGCATGGAGGGTCACTTGTCATAAAACATTCATTCCTACCTTCAAGGACCAAAGAAGTCGGAATGAGAGTTCCTTCCCGCACTATCAACCCAGACAGAAATTCATGATCATCGTATGATGAGGAAAATCGGCTTACAAACAATTACCAGACCATTGGCTACATGAAATGTCTGCAATATATGTACGCATTTTGCAGAATAAATCTGAAGAAAAATTTCCGGCAAATTTGTCACGCCATGGTTCAAATAGGAGGTACAGATCCTGCGATTGTTTATCAGCGGTGAGGGAGATAAATTAAGCTGTACATGTCCGGACAAACATTGAGACATTACATGTACTTAATTTTCTTTCATGTTTAAGCAATTTTGGTCAGTCATTGTGTCCTGCAGATATGAATTCCATATGAGGATTCATGAGCAACACCCTCATGACTCATTTCATGATCTCTTATGAGGCAAATTTCATGGAAGTTTTGCATCGCTTTGTCTGTCTGGGTTTTTATTACAACTAATATGCAAAACCCATAGCAAAGATCACCAGCGAACGAACTCGGTGATGGATATTAATTAGGTTGGGGCCAGCAGAAGTACCCATAAGTGCAAAAAGACTAAACAGTTCGCAAAGAACAGGCCGCCATTGATGGCGAAGGCATCTCGGTTCGTTAAGACTTCTGGATTTGAAAAATAAAAACGTGACACGTTAAAAATCGCTTTTTTTTTTGTTAAAGACGCAAAAAACAATAGCCAACGACCTCGATTATAGGTATTATTCTGAAATCAGCACAAGGATCCAGGAGGGAAAAAAGACTAAATAACCCGTAATAAAGTAATGATGACAAAAACATTTCAATTTTTTAGGAATTTATGAAGTGATACGAAAGTAATGAGCTTAACATTTGGGTATCTTGTTCGTAAGGTGTTAAATTTTAATTCCATAGCACGGATCAACATTAAAAAAAAAACTTAAAAATTCGAAAATTAAACGTTCTGGTATCTTGTACGCAAGACTTTAAATTGAAATTCCATAGCACGGATCAGTATTAAAAAACTTAAAAATTGAATAATTAAATGTTTTGATACCTTATACGTAAGTTATTAAATTAAATGCCATAGCACGAATAAATATTAAAAACTTAAAAATTGAAAAATTAAACGTTTTGATATCTTGTGCGTAAATCATTAAATTTAAATGCCATTGAACGGATCAATATTAAAAATCTGAAAAATTAAAAGGTTTGTACCTTGTACGTAAGTCATTAAATTTAAATGCCATAGCACGAATCAATATTAAAAACTTAAAAATTTTAAAATTAAACGTTTTGATATCTTGTACGTAAATCATTAAATTTAAATGCCACAGAACGGATTAATATTAAAAATCTGAAAAATTAAAAGGTTTGTACCTTGTACGTAAGTCATTAAATTAAATGCCACAGAACGGATCAATATTAAAAAAAAAAAATAAAAAATTTAAACAACGTTCTGGGATCTTGTACAGAAGACTAAATTGAAATTCCATAGCACGGATCGATAGCGAGCGATCCGAACGATAAGTCAGATAGCAGGCCTCGCAGAAGCATTCGGGAGGGCAAAAAGGTTAAAAACCCGTAAAGAACTGGCGACCATTGATGGCGAAGGCATCTCGGCTCTTCGGGCTTTCGAGGCCACCTCTATACGGATAGGCCACCGGGAATTAATGCGGTACTATCGGCGATGATCGATATACGGTAGCTCGGTTCGTGATAGGACGCGCGGACCAACTTGGCCAGGCGTGACCGTACTTGACCAGGTTCGAGTCGAACAATGGGGCCTCGAGGAGCTCAACTTATGGACGGAGCTCGACTTTCTCGGCAGGAGCCTCCCGACGTTAGAAAGCGTAAACCCGTTGCGTCCTTTTGGCCAATTAACCAAACGCGGGGACCGGACGATCCGGGGAGAGGAGTTGCTCACCTGGCTGTGACGGTCTTTGTAGAAGTAGAGAATCGAGCTTCGCAGAACGCCCCAAACTTGCTTCCAGGAACGGTCGGTGGATCGCTGAAAAAATTATTCATCGTTTATTGATAAGAAGAGTTAAAGGGCGGTTTGAAAAATCCAACCGATTATTCCTGACTTGCTTTTAGTCATATGGATGAGGACAGTTTTAAAACGAAGAATTCTTCTTTTTATCCGGAAAAGATCAATACGAAGAATGAACCCTTTGGCTACTAAGAGCGTCTAAAGGCGCCCGACGTTCGGTCCAATATTGCCTGCACGGTCAGATGAATTTCGCCCATATGTCGAAATAGTTCCGTGTTCAAGGGTTTAAAGGGTGGTTTGAAAAATCCAACACACTTTTCCTAGCTTGCTTTTAGTCATATTGATAAGGATAGTTTCAAAACAAGGAATTCTTCATTTTATTCATTTTTATATTATTTTTATCACAAATTAAAAGAAAAGTACCTAGGACTGGAAGGATTAATTGTTGACGGGGAATATTCCTTCTAATTGGAAGAAATATGGCAAAGAATAATTCCTCTCGTCGTTGTTTATCAATGAAAGAAAAGAGAATGTCATTACGACTTACGTATCTACTAAATAATTGATTTATCACATAGTATCTGATATCTCTATCAAGTAATAATTTCTTGACAGATTGTCTTTCTGGTTTAAATATGCAAATCAAATGTTTTGGAGAGATACCACATTAAGCGTTCCTTTGTAACGGAAGACCATGTACCGATCAATTCTTCACAGAGAAAATTGAGAGAACATTGAGAGAACTCATTTCTTCTTATCACCAAGAAAAGAATAAGATGTGATTACGAGTTATCACATGGATCTCCAAAACGAATCTATTATACCCCTAACGATTGTTTCCTTAATAGATGACCTTCCCAGCAGATAGTCTAGATTCACTCGAAACAAAGTTATCGAAACTCTTAAGATGTAATGAAAAATAAAATAAAATTTCAAAGACTCTTCACCTTTTCAAACATTAAGAGAACCTATTTATTCTTATCACCAAGAAAAGAATAAATTGTAATTACAAATTATCACATGGATCTCCATAACGATTCTCTTATGCCTCTAACGATTGTTTCCTATAGTCCAGATATTCCTGATAGTCCAGATTAGCTCGAATGAAAGTTATCAAAACTCTTAAGATGTAATTAAAAATAAAATAAAATTGTAAAAAATCTTCACCTTTCCATCATGCACTGTGAATTTGACATGAAGAGAGCCTTCTCTTTCAACGGGTTCTGCATCTTTCGGGGTCCCAGCTCCACTGGACGATCCTTGGGTGCTGATAATGCTGTTGCTGTAAAAAAATAGATCGAAAATCAAAAGAAGATCCCCAATATCGTCATCAGATCGATATCCTATAATCAGGACCTGATGAGGGGAGAAAAGTATCCTTGGAATTCGAGGAAACCAGCAGATCTCGCTCCGTCGACAATCGAGTCTACGACCCTATCTGATAAGAGAGTGCTATTAAAAGATTTAATACACGATGAACGTGTTAATTTGTTAATTTCTTTATGCAACGACCGTGCCTTACCTCGAGAGTTATACGTTAAAGGTAGACGATAGTTACTTTGGCCATTGCATCTCCGCAAGCTACACAACAGTTCTTGTTAGCTACCAGTGAATGTGCAACTAGGGTAATTCATGTATCCAGACAATGCTCGTGTATGTTTGTACATGTATACGTGTTTGTGATTCGGCGTGGCTCGTCGCGAATGAGGAAAGGTCGCGTTTATACCGGAAGTTCCGGATACAAAGGCGGATATCCGGAAAGAGCACCTCCAGGTGTTGCATGTCTATGTACAGTGTTGGGTTAGACGCTTTATTACTGGCGAGGATCAACAGACATAACATTTACACACGGCTCAATTGACCGTCCGGATGGGTCCGGGAAAGCGAACTGTTTTAGAGTTGAGTTCTTGAAGAGCTACTCGGAGAAGGTGTAATGAGACTGATTNTAACATTTACACACGGCTCAATTGACCGTCCGGATGGGTCCGGGAAAGCGAACTGTTTTAGAGTTGAGTTCTTGAAGAGCTACTCGGAGAAGGTGCAATAAGACTGATTACCGAGTTTTTTTATTATAACACCCTGAAAAAGAATTAAAAATAAATGTAGAGAATTACTTGGACATTTTTTGGCAGGCAAGACTGATGCGATGAATAAATTAATTGTTTACTTCGATTGATTTAGAGTTGGGTTCTTGAAGAGCTACTCGGAGAAGTTGTAATGAGAATGATTACCGCGTTTTTTATTATAACGCCCTGAAAAAGAATTAAAAATAAATGTAGAGAATTATTTTTTTAATTTTTTGGCAGACAAGACTGATGCGATGAATAAATTAATTGTTTACGTCGATTGATTTAGAGTTGGGTTAAAGGTTTGTACCTTGTACGTAAGTCATTAAATTAAATGCCACAGAACGGATCAATATTAAAAAAAAAAAATAAAAAATTTAAACAACGTTCTGGGATCTTGTACAGAAGACTAAATTGAAATTCCATAGCACGGATCGATAGCGAGCGATCCGAACGATAAGTCAGATAGCAGGCCTCGCAGAAGCATTCGGGAGGGCAAAAAGGTTAAACAACCCGTAAAGAACTGGCGACCATTGATGGCGAAGGCATCTCGGCTCTTCGGGCTTTCGAGGCCACCTCTATACGGATAGGCCACCGGGAATTAATGCGGTACTATCGGCGATGATCGATATACGGTAGCTCGGTTCGTGATAGGACGCGCGGACCAACTTGGCCAGGCGTGACCGTACTTGACCAGGTTCGAGTCGAACAATGGGGCCTCGAGGAGCTCAACTTATGGACGGAGCTCGACTTTCTCGGCAGGAGCCTCCCGACGTTAGAAAGCGTAAACCCGTTGCGTCCTTTTGGCCAATTAACCAAACGCGGGGACCGGACGATCCGGGGAGAGGAGTTGCTCACCTGGCTGTGACGGTCTTTGTAGAAGTAGAGAATCGAGCTTCGCAGAACGCCCCAAACTTGCTTCCAGGAACGGTCGGTGGATCGCTGAAAAAATTATTCATCGTTTATTGATAAGAAGAGTTAAAGGGCGGTTTGAAAAATCCAACCGATTATTCCTGACTTGCTTTTAGTCATATGGATGAGGACAGTTTTAAAACGAAGAATTCTTCATTTTATCCGGAAAAGATCAATACGAAGAATTAACCCTTTAGCTACTAAGAGCGTCTAAAGGCGCCCGACGTTCGGTCCAATATTGCCTGCACGGTCAGA